ATTATGGGTATTTAGAAATAAATACCCAGACAACAAAAAAAGTGATATTTGTATATAGAACAAAATATATAGTTTGATCAACCCTAACACTGCAAGGAATAATTGCTGTTAATATTCTAGAAAGAAATTTTATAAAATTTAAATTTAAAGATTTTGTTACAAATCAAGTTATATATATTATTACTATTATTATTGTAAGTCACTGATTTGTAAATCTAATTAAAAATTATTATTATAGGCCTATTCAAATATATAATAAATTATTCAGATAACCTAAATAATTTACTAATATCCATATTTATACAATAATAGTGTTTTGATTATAGATAATATACATATATATCATGATCATAGATTGTATAAATATTTGAATACATTTGAAGTACATATAGAATTTTTTCTATCTATTTTTCTGACCTCAATCTGATTAAGTTAGCATTTTCTTTGATCAAAGAGTATTTAAAATAATATTAAAATTTTGTTAAGAATTCTAATGATCTACAATATTTATTATTAGTTGTATATGTATAGATTACACCTGAGATAGCAAAAAATTTTTTTGAAGCTTCAGAATACAAATTATATAATTGTTAGTAATTAGTTTAGAATAGCCAAATAAATAATAATATTTTTTTGATAATGCTAGTATATTGCTCATGAACTTGTATAGATATTAAGAACTTTGTCTAAATTCAATTAAAAGCAAATAAAGATTTAAAGCTATTAATTATTGATACTAATTAGATAAATTGTCTTGGATTTTAATTTTTTATATAGTTATTAGTCTTGTTTTACTCAAACTCTTTTTAAATTTAATTCTATATTTATAATATATTACAATTTCTATATATTTATTATAAAGAATACAAAATAAAATCCTCTTTACTGTAAATTTAACTTTTATATGTATATATATTTAATTCAGGAAATTGTTATAATTAAAAATCTTGATTAAGTTATAAAATTTTTTATCAATTGGCAGTTGAATCAAAACAAAAATAAATAAATAAATAAATAGTCAAAGACTTATATAAATTAAAATATTATTTTTACATTATATTGATATTTTATATTTGTTTTATTTGCTATACATATAAAATTTTGCAGCACAACAGGCAAATTTTTTAGATTTTATATATTTCATTTGTTATTGTGAATTCTAATCTCTAATACATTGCATTATATAAGTTAAATATATTTTTGTTATGCAATTTATTAGTATTTAGTATTCCGTAGTAGCAAAATCTATGCAAAATTTGTATAAAATTCTGCAAGCAAAATAAAAATTATTAGTGAATATAGTTTATTGTGATCAAATTAGAAATTTCTTTTTGTTGTAATTTTGTTTGTTAATATATTATTTATATATTATTGCAGAATTTACTAATTTAGCGATAATTGCAGCAAAATTTTTTAGTTAGAACTGCAATACTCTGAATACTCTACAAATTATATGTAAGCAAAAAATCTGAAAAAGACCAAATACAATATATTTTTCCTTCTTGCCCAAAAATTAAAAACTATTTATTTGTCTTATAGCACTTGATACTTTTTAGTATATTCACGTAAAATTTGTTGAGTACTGATAGTATATATTTCATATTGTGAAAATTATTTATCTGTTAGTCTTTTTAATTATTTTGCTAAAACTCATTGTATATCAAATTTTTCAAAAAATTTTAATACCATATATTTCTGAAAATAAGCTACTCCAAAAATAAGCTACCTTTCTTTTTTGGAAGAAAATGTAAAAACTTCTATTACCTAAAAATAAGCTACTTATACGATTATTAGTAGTTATTCTATAGTAAAGTCGAAACTTTACTAAGTAAATCGACATAGCTTATTAAGTAAAGTTATTTAGAAGGTCAAAATACATATATCCTGAAAGTTTCATCCAAATTGAATAACTTTTAATTAATAGGTTTTTGCATGTTACGTTCGATGAATTTTTTAAAATTTCTTTAAAATTCATATTCGTTGAAGGTAAAAATCAAAAGTCAATTAATAAAAAGTTGTTCAATTTATGTAAAATTTTTAGGATATATGTATTTTGATCTCCTGAATAACTTTCACTTAATAAGCCATGTCGATATACTTAGTAAAATTTTCGTAGTCAAGCAAAATCTGCTTTTGTCTGAAAATAAACTACTCCCAATTTTTTGAGCTTAAAATCATCCAAAAAATGGTAGCTTATTTTCAGGAATCTATGGTAGTAATGACTAGTTTCTTCTTTTTTGTCTATTTCTTTTAAGAATTCTACTATTGTAGAGAAAATAGAAAAGATATATAGATTAGATTGAATAGTTTGAGATTGTATAGAAATATGAGGCAATATTTGATACAGATTATATAGAACTAATAACAAAAGTTGGTGTGACTGAAATATTTGAAATCCAAAACCCAATTGTGTTGTGGTATTGATAGAAGAAGATATAGTAAAACTAATAGTATTTGTAAAAATAGTAACAAAATCAATTGTAGTTGTACTTGTAACAAAGATTGTAATGTTTGTACTTGTGGTGATAGTTGTGATAGTTGTACTTGTGGTGGTAGTAATTCTCATTATAGTGGTGATAGTTGTACTTATGATAGTGATAGTTTTTGTGATAGTAGCGATAGTTGTAATTGAAATGATAATAGTACTTGTGGTGATTATAAATATGAAAATGGTAATTTTTAATATATCTTTTTAGATGATATATTAATATAAAAAAAAGTAAATATATTGGAAGAATTTTAATTGTGGCTAGTCTTTTTTCTAAAAATATATATAAGTTTAAATAAATACAAATTGTTATAAATATCAAATATTGATATACTATATCAGATACCTAAATCGAAAATATTATAAAAATAATTTTGATATACAGATCTTTAAGGTTTTTTTTATTAAGACAGGAATAATTATACATATTACAATAATATGCATTTTTAATTTTTAATATATTTTCAGCAATTTCTTTTTTATGTAAAGATAAAGATGGAATACTTGGAATTTGATTATTGCTTTTGTAATTGTTTGGTTTTTTAGCAATTTCTTTTTTATATAAAGATAAAAATGAAATACTTGAAATTTGGTTATTACTTTTGTAATTGTTTGGTTTTTCAGTATTATCTTTATCTTCATTTAAATTTAACACTTGCAAAATAATTTATTATATAACTTTTAGTATTATAAATATATATACATATATATATAAATACCTTTTTTTATTTGTTTGAGAAATAGATGATTGTATAACAGTAGCATATATTCTGGTATCACTTTTTCTAGCAACTAACTTTGTATATTCAGATTTGAACTTCTTAAAATCATAATTATTGGCCAATTGCATACCAGTATCTGCTTTTCTGCATGTTTTAAATATTACAAAGTAGTTATTTGGCATAATAGTATCATTTTTTGTTATCAAGAAAATTTTGTTAGAATGAACAAAAGAAATTTATCAATTGTCAATCAGAATCTTTAAACTATTTAGCAGATAATAAAACTCTATTTGCCATTTTGTAATCTACTACAAACTTAGATTCGTCATATTTACTGCTTATTTCATCTTTGTTAGTTCTATCTTTACTTGCTATAATAGATATTGATGGAGAAGTGATATAATTATTTTCTATAAAATAAAAATATCAATTTTGGCCATCTAGTTTAAACAAATTAACAATCAAATTTGAATATTAAAGCAACCAAATTTGAACATTAAAGCAATCAAATTTGAACATTAAAGCAATCAAAATTGGACATAATAATAATCAAAATTGAATATAATTAAATCTTAATATTTTATAATATAGTAATTAGAATTATATAATTTTAGTATTATTAAATTTATTATATTAATATAAATTTAATAATACTAAAATTAAATAATTCTGATTACTATATAATAAAATATTATGATTTAATTATATTTAATTTGATTGTTATTATGTCCAAATTTGATAACTATCATGTTCAAAATTGATTGTTGTCATGTTCAAATTTGATTGTTGTTATGTACAAATTTGATTGTTAATTTGTCCAAAATTGGTGGCTAAAACCAATAATATAATATTAATAAATATAAATACAGTATCTGTAATAAAATATATAAATACAGTATCTGTAATAAAAGATAATATTACATTGTCATTCACTTTATTCTTTATCATATTTGTTATTTTTAGCTTTTGTGGAGTTCAATTTGACTAAAACATTGTGACATTGTCCACAAAGAGAAAACTGAAAAGATTTTTTCAAATTTATTTGATAATTGTGTTCGAAAACTCTTTCATGAATATATTCAAACTTTGGTGTCACCCAAGTAGGTTCATAAAGGCGTGTATACACTTGTTTCACTAAATCTGTTCTATTTTTTTTGGTTGGCACGAGAGATAATTTACAACCACAAATAGTATTTCGCAAATCAACTGCGCAATACAAACATTTCCGGCATCCAAAACAGGTGCCACGGTAATATCTAAGTTTGGTGTTAGCTACATCTGCCATTATCGTTATATGTTCGACTGATATGGGAAAAAAATAACAAATTTGCTATTTTGGGAATTTTTTTTTATATATATTTTAAATTTGGATTCCCGATTCCCAGATTCCCGTGTAGTGTGTGATGCAAGAAATTTGCTGATCACAGTAATTTGAAAAGCGCAGTAATTATTTTCAAATTTGGCCCTTACTTGTAATTATTTTCATTGTCGGGCCCTTATATGTAAATTCTCAAATCTATGTTATACTAAAAGTAGTTTATTGGAAAAGTAGTTAAATAAGCTTTTAAAATAAAGAACAACGACGTTTTGATCAAAGCTTATACAATATTGAAAAAATTTCAAATCTCAAAAAATGTTAAAATAGAGAACATTGTTCGAAAGTTTTATTATTATATGGGCTAGGTGCTACAGAAAGGGGGGAAATTGACAAAATTTTTAAAATTAATTTTTTTACATAAATTAATTTAG